TCCCTGGGCTGCCTTTGGTTCCTCTGAGCACCATACACCCAGTTCACTCCATCTCATGCACTGGAATTCTGTTTCTTTCCTAAGCACCACATGGAAAAATAATAATTGCTCACATTCATCGCATGTATACTAAGCACCAAGGACTGGACCTTGCTGTGGATTAACTCTTTAACTCTATAAGTTAAGTCTGACTGCTATCTCCCCTTTAAAGAAGTGGAAACAGAGGCACAGAGAGGTAATTAACTTGCTCAAGGTCATAGAGTCAGAAAATGGCAGTGGCAGGATGGATTCAAACCCCGGTGGTTGGCTCCAGGCCTACCCCCTAAACTGTTCTGTTCCACACTTTTGTTTGCAAAGTTTCCGAATTCCCTCCCCTGGCTGGGCCTATCTGCACGCTTTGACCAAACCCTGACTCTTGCCTGTTCAGAAGTGGACCTGCACAATCACCAGCCCTCCCACCCTCCCTGCACCAGTTCTCAGGGGACTAAGTGGAAAATGATGTAGACCTTTTCTCAGGGGGTTGAGGTCCGTTGCCTGCTGGCTTCTGGCTAATTACCACTTACCACCTGGAGTAGGCTCAGGAAACCAGACCCGGGATGGGTGCATCCAGCTGAGAGGAACAAGCTGGGCAGGAGTGCCAGCGGCCAGCCACCAGCATCACCTCCCTGTCTGCAGCCCCGCAGAGCTGCTGATGGACCAAGCACCTGGCTCGGCTGCTGTATCTCCTGCTAACAGCCTCTCTTGGCCCTCCTCTTCTATCTGGGTGTTTTCCTTGTGGCTCTAACGAACACCCTTTGTGTCACATTGAAGTTGCCAGTTATTGCCACTCAGAATAAAACCGAGCCTTTGCTGGGCAGAGACTCCTGAGAGCTTTGTGCCTGGGAGTGAGGAAGTGTGGACTGGAATAATCCCTTCTATGTGAGTGGTCCTCAAGCATCATTAGAGGGTACCAGGTAGGGGCCCCTCCCAGACAGGATGTAAACAAACAATAGGATGTTCCAGGCTCCCCTCCCCCACTCAGGTTTGCTCCCTTCCTTGCCCTCAGCACACCTGCATGCTGTAATCCTATCTGACTGGTTTAGGCTCTTTCCCCGTGCCCCAAAGATAAAGCCAAGCCAGATGGATGCACCTTCTGATGTGAGCTCTCAGGTCAGTCTGAGTAGTGGGCAATGGCTTCATGGGATCCTCAGACAACAGCTGAGTCCACCTGCACGTTATTCAAGGAGCAGTTTCCTCGGCTCTATCTTGGAACCACTGACCCAAATCCCTGCGGCCGGGGCTGAGGAATCTCCGATTGTAACAAGCTCCTCCCAGACTGTCATGTGTAGACCCACGGGACCTAAGCAAATAGATCCAAGGAAAAGATGCCCCCACATACACTCTCTCCTAGGACCAGAGAAAACACCTTGTAAACTCTAAAGCACCCTTTGGAAGCCGGACATTAGCACTGCTAGCACTGACCTTCATGATATGCCAGGACAACCATTTCTATCCCTATTTTATAGACAAAGAAACCCATATGTCCTCTCAGGATATGGCAACAACAGAATTGAGGTAATCCCCAGTTATTTTCACTCACAGGCAACCACAAAAAACCCATTGTCGTTGAGTTGTTTCTCACTCATGGCAACTCCATGTGTGTCAGAGTGGACCTGTCCTCCATGGGGTTTTCAATTGTTGATTTTTTGCAAGTAGATCCCCAGGCCTTTCTTCTGAGGTGCTTCTGGGTGGACTCAAACCTCCACCCTTTTGGTTAACAGCTGAGTATGTTAACCATTTATACCACCAAAGGACTCCAAGGCAACCACGGTAAGATCTAAAAGCATTTTTAGAGCCTAGTACCCTACCCAGAAACCCTATATTATGAAAAAGGAACCATGGGGTAGCTCTAGCCTATGTTGCTGTTATTGTCGTTAGGTGCTGTCGAGTCAATTCTGACTCTTAGTGACCCTATGTACAACAGAATGAAACACTGCCTGGTCCTGCACCATCCTCACAGTCATTGCTATGTTTGAGCCCATCGTTGCTGCCACTGTCAATCCATCTCATGGTCTTCCTCTTTTTTGCTGACCCTCTACTTTACCAAGCAAGATGACCTTCTCCAGAGATTGGTCCCTCCTGATACCAAAAAATCCAAACCCACTGTCATTGAGTTGATTCTGATTCATAGCAACCCTATAAGACAGAGTAGAACTGCCCCCTAGGGTTTCCAAGGAGTGGCTGGTAGATTTGAACTGCCAGCCTTTTGGTTAGCAGCCAAGTTCTCTTGCCATCCATGCTTCTAAGGAGCATTCTGGCTGTACTTCTTCTTCTAATACAGTTTTTTTCGTTCTTCTGGGAGTAGCCTGCGGTTAGCTAAAACTGCCAACTTTACATCAATTGATATCTTAAGTGTAAGCTGCTCTCAGCCATCAGCATCCTTCCAAAGCACTCTTATCAGGGAAAACAGGAGTATCAGTGATTCTCAGCAGGGGGTGATTTTGCCCCCAGGAGACATTTGGCAATGTCTGGAGACATTTTTGGTTGTCACAACTGGGGTGGGGGGAGGCATGTAGTGGGTAGAGGCCCTGGATGGTGTTAAACATCATACAATCCACAGGACAGTCCCCCACAACGAAGAATTATCTGGGCCAAAATGTAAGTGGTGTGAAGGTTGAGAATCCCTAGAATAGATGCCACCAAAGACATGTGCCCCAATCCCGGAATGGCTTCCATTCCCTGAAGGCAGGGCGTTAACGCAGGCTTCCGGTTTGGGGGTGGAGTTTTCATAGCCTTGGTCTGTTGTTATTTATCTAGAAAGAAGATGTGGATCAACCCAGGAGCCAGGAGAGAAAGGCTTACAGGTCGATCATACAGCCAGCTGCCCCCTCCCCATTATGTGAGCTGAGCCTAAAGGACCC